AGAGACGGGGTTTCACCATGTTGACCAGGATGGTCTCGATCTCTTGACCTCATGATCCACCCGCCTCGGCCTCCCAAAGTGCTGGGATTACAGGCTTGAGCCACCACGCCCGGCATTTAATACTTTTTTATGCAAAGAGAAAACAGGTAAGGACAAAGCCAAAAAAATTCCCAACCCATGTTTTGCTGTTTAACATTCCTGTATTTGAAGATAAACCTAAAGCCAAAAATTGTTCAGACTGAAAACAGATGACTCCTACTTATGAATCATTATTGCTATTACATCATACTAAATGGAAATATACTAGTAATGAAACAAAACAGGAAACTTTTCTCCTCCAGTGTAAAATGTAAACACTGTGCCCATTAAATCAATAGGTTGATTCGCATATAAAGTAACAGATGCACTAAGATTTAACATCCTCATTTATTTCTCTTCAAAATCAAATTCACAGCCTTCAAAGGGAATAGGCTTTGTTTTCAGGACATCACATCACACTACTTCTTACTTAGCATTACTTCAAAGAGTCCTCAAAACCTTCCTAAGTCTAATTCCTGTTTCTGTTTATATTCATTTACATCTGTAGAGCAAATCACTAACAGTCATCACAACAGTGCTGCTTTGCCTAGAACCAGGACTAGAAACTAAATTTTAAAAATGTTAAATATTAAATTTTCATTATACAATTCAATACTCTGCTGTATTATAAAACAGAATTATTTTCAGGTTTATTAGTGGCATTTAACTATAAGAAATGATATAGCTAAAATACCATTTAATTATATAACACAATTCGACCTTCCAATTAAGTAAAGACAACTTGTCTGTACAGCAAAGAGCCAACAGAAGGGAACTATGAGCTTGGGCATGGGATGGGAGAGGTAGGCAGTCTAAGAATGCTGAAATGGTGTACAGTTTTCTGTTATGAGATCCCAAAATGTATCTCTGATCTCCTTACCCATCCCTTATCAAAAACAAAAAAAGGACCAACTAAGAGATGATGTCTTACCTTGACTGAATAGCAAGATAAATTGTACGACGAAATGAGACCAGGTTAATTTCTGTTTTGTCATGAATAGTCACTTTTTGTCCTGAAAGAAACACAACAAAATTACAAAACTGCAAAAATAAATGTGAAGAAGCTAAAATGTATCTCTGTATTTTCTTCATAAATTTATTTAAATACGAATTTAATACCTTTTTATAACTCTGCAAATTAGTATTTACAGAATTCAAAGTAACTATTTCAAGTTTTGCTACATCATAATGTTAGCTTAAAGAAGTTCAGAACCAAGTCAAGAAAATTCTTTTTCTTTTCTCTGTCATTTGCTCATTTAGACACTATGAAAGGCTGCACTCATCCTGTTGTTTGGTAAAATATTATTTCTAGAATTATAAACAATATTGATAATTTAGAAGCACCATATAACTCAGAGGTAAAAATTGAGCTTCAGAGAACACTGGATCATCATAACAGGCTAAATGAGTCCAACATAAATATGTGTATTTGTCAAAATTTTCTCTTATTTAATGCATGAAAACTTTCCTTATAAATATTTAATAGTTTTTATTTGAATAGTATTTTCACATAAAACAAGGAAATTCTAAAGTAAAATGTAGTACATAGATGATTTCAATTAAAAAATGAGAAAAAATTAAATCTATTTTTACAAAATACGTTATAGAAGAATAATTGTACTATAAGACAGAAGTATATATTATACCCTAAAAGGCAAAGATAAACTTTAAATACCTTCACACATATAAACTGTGGCTTAACCAAAGTAAAGTTCTGAGCTTATTTCTGTGAAATAATGTAATCAAAGCTGAAGAGGAAAAACATACTACTTCTGTGCAAATACAGCTTTTGGCCTCCCCACCCTATTTTGCCAAAATGAATGGCAAATATCCAGTCACTCTCATTTGTCACATTCCTGCCAGGGCTACATAAATCACATGCACTCAGTATGAATACATGTTTTCATAGTCTATAATATAATCAAAAGCATAATATACTAAATTAAAATTGTGCAGATGCTAAAAAAAGAATTTGTTAAATATTTTTTGAGCAGTTTCTCAACCTTGGCAATACTGGAATTTGGGGCTAGATCATATCTCGTTGTTCAAATTTTGGGCTGGATCATATCTTGTCCTGTGGTTTGCAGGCTGTTTAACGGCAGCCCTCGTCTTCACCCAATAGATGCTATCAGCATCCCTCCTCGCTCTCCCCAACAAGAACTACTGTATTAGAAGATTATACTACAATTAATTTAATTTTAGAGTATCTTACAATATTATTTGAGTATGCTACATGTTTACCTTCTTCATCTTCTTCTCCCTCTTCCTCTTCTTCTTCCTCTTCCTCTTCACTACTCCCAGCATCTTGGTCTGTATTTGAGTCACTGTCTCCCTCGTCAAGAATTTCTGTAAAGTACAAAGGTTAGCAAAAAAATAACGTGCAAGTAATATATATGTATTTCATTCTAAGAAGATAATTCTCAGTTCATTGAAATCCACTGTGGTATAACAGTTTACCAGCCAACAAAGATAACCATCAAGCCTTGTGTTATTACCCGGGTGGTGAAAAAGCATTACAACTGATATGACTAGAGAGAGCCATATGTAACATTCTTTTGCCACATAAAAAGTGGCCATGAAACAAGGAGATGAGAAAAACAACAACAAAAAAAAGTAGATGACAGTTTTTGAAAAGAGCAAGAGCACTAGAAAAATATTAAGAATAGAAGCTAGCATATGGGAGTCAAAATATTGTTTTATCATCAGAAAGAAGTCAGTCCGCTTTAAAAAAAAATTAAGGCTATATACAGAAAACAAGAATTTAGGCTAAGAATGTACTAGGAAAGACAAAGAAGGGAGAGAAAATAATTGCATAATTTAGTGTTCACGTGAAATAAACAGTAATGAGATTTTTATTAACATGTATACCTACTAAATTGAACATTACAATAAATCCAAAGACTTTTCATAAATAAAACAGAAACAGAAGTTTAAAAGCCTTTAAGACAACGGGTAAGACAAGCACTGTATTGGATTATCACTTTTAAAAATACAAATGATATATTCAGAACTGGATGAAAACAGTGATGTATATGAGACTACATTAGGCCAGTCATTATGCTAAAGGCAAGCAAATGACAAAAACTAAAATTATATTTTGTCCAATTGTGCTCTGTTAGCCTGATAAAACATTTTGCAAACCTGACCAACTCTTTACTTTTGCATTTCTATTATAATCAGAGAGCTTTTAATACAAAGTTCTGGAATCAATTCATTTTAAGAAAAATTCTAATTTCTTTATGTTTAAGCAGTATAAATCAGGAGACACATAATGAAAGTAAGCAGAGAACTTCATATTATGAGAAACAAATCATTTTATAAAAATGAAGAGGAGTCATTCAGCCCTTATCTGACATACAAATCTCAAGGATATTTCTAATAAATGTGAATTCAAGAGATAATCTAAAGTATCTAGTTTATTACTATGCAACATGGCTTAGACAGACTTTTAAAAGAAGAAACTATTTAGTATTCAATAGTAGGAAGACAGGCCCTCCTGCTGTTTTCCCAAATGCTGTCAAGATCTAAAACACAAGTACACCTGGGTCAGTCTAAGGTGCTAATTATTAAAGCTGTGCCCTCTTCCTGTTGGGACCGTTTTTTTTCAGCTCTAGAAGATGTTTTACAAAACAGTGAAGGTCAAATGAATTGTCTAATCATTTACATCATCCTCTTCTCAGCACTCCACTTTAGAATCTACTTATTAAAATCACTTAGACAAGGACAACTGGATTTCATCAACTGAATAAAGTAGTGGTTTCAAAGCATGGTCTAGGAGTCCAAGAAGGATCTGAGGTCTGTCAAGTGGTCTGTGAGGTCAAAACTATTTTCATAATAATACCAAGACAGTATCTGCCTTTTAACTGTGCTGACATCTGTGATGATGATCAAAAAGCAACGGGGTTTAAAACTGCTGTAATCCAAGCACTAACTGAGGCACCAAGCTTCACTAGTAATCAATGTATTCTTTACCACCACCCTCTTGAAGAAGAAAGCCAGTTTCATCTGAGAATGTCCTTGATGAAGAAGTAAAACACAACAAATTTTATTAAATCTCAGCCCTGAATATAGAATTTTATCCTAATCTGAGTGATGAAATATAAAGTTCATATATATAGCACTTCTGTTAAAGAGAGATATAAAATGGTGACAGTTATGTCAAGGAAAACCACTTGTGTGACTGTTTGCTTTGCACGGTGAGTTAGCTATTTTTTTCATTTTTATTTGAAAGAATTGGCCAACTAATTATAGTTGTTAGATATTTGGCCAACAATTTCTCAAATGCAAACAAAATGAGACTGTCACTTTAGGAAAAACAACTCACGATATCTGCGACAATGATAGCATTAGAGTTTTCAATAATTTTGAAAAACTTATATCCATCCCTGTGAGTTTAAGAGCTCCCTAATACTTAGATTTTTCGGACGAAATTATAAGAGAAAAAAGGAATCTGGCAGGTTGCAGTGAAAAGCTCCTAGGAAATTAGCAATATTATTAAATGTGCTATAAATGTGCTAGATATTATATCAACATGTTAATTTGATTTTCATAATATTAAGGTTAACATTTTAAAAATGCATAACTCAGTGAATTAGTATTTTCTAAATGACTAATGCAACATTACAAAATCATACACGAGTAAAAGATGTATTTAAAGTGACAGACAAATGCATTCTAATGTAACACTATCAAAGCTCATTGATATTGTTTCAGAATTCACACTGCAATTAATCTTAAAACTACTAGTTGTTAAATATTGGCATTTATCTGCAAAAGCTATTAAAATACTGCTCCCTTTTTCTAACTACCTACCTATCTGAGGCTAGATTTTCATCATGTACTTCAATTAAAACAACCTACTGCAGTAGATTGAATGTAGAAACAGATATGAGGGTCCAGCTGCTTCCCATTAGGCCAAACAGTAAACTACACATATAAAATTTTATAAAATATAAATATAATGCAAAATATATAAAACATCATTCTCAACAAATTTGTTTTGTACATAACAATTTTCATAAAAATATGTAATTTATGTAAACATATACTAGGTTTGCCATTATTTTGAAATAATTTAATAAATTCTTTTATATTGTTTCAACTTTTAATAGAGTGAATATCAATAGATATAACCCATATAAGAAGGTCTTTGGAGTTGTCAATAATTTTCAAGAGTATAAAGGGATCCTGGGACCAAAGAATTTGAGAACTGCTGTAATAAAAGAAAGAGCTACTTTCCAGGCATTGGTCAATTGCCTAGACACTAAAGAAATAGATACAGAATTCTCAAGTTTAAAAAAGAAAGAAATCAAATCAGGCATATTTAAGAATTTCACAAAAAACATGTGGCATCTTTCAGGGAGACTGCAGGAAAAGAGGTTCATAAGAAGGCAAAATGGATCTATGGAGTTCTCTACAGTATTTGGAAACGAAAATATAACAGAAAAAAGGAATCTGGCAGGTTACAGTGAAAAGGTCCTAGGAAATTAGCGTCTAAAAAGAGAAACCCATTTACTATATCAGATTTATGTATAGGAATGGAAGATCTCTCCCACTTTTCCTTTTCCTTTCAACCTTCCACTTCTAAGCACTACTGAACAATGGAATGCAGAGAGTGACAGAGTAGGTCTCTACTTCCTCTGTGTATGAGACTACATAAGGCTGGTCTTTATGTTAAAAGCAAACAAATGACAAAAACTAAAGTTGTATTTTGTCCAATGGTGCTCTGTGAGCCTGATAAAAGATTTTGCAAAGCTGACCAACATTTACGTTTAGAGAGCTTTTAATACAAACTTTCAGGGTTTAATACAAAGATAAATATTTATTGCTTTCACAGTATTAAATACTTCTCCAGTAAAGTTACAATTCAAGAGAAATAAACCCATAAAATTATTATGAAAGTAGGCCTGAGTGTCAGCTTTAGGAGGAAACAAATGCAAATGTGAAAATTATAACAGTAATTAATAATAGCTATCATTGTCTGTGATAATACATAACAATGTATTGTATATATCCTTCTATAGAAAGTTAACATTTACTCTTCCATCAAACAAGTAACTTGCTACAGGTCACTCAGCTAGTAATGTCGAAGACAAATTACAAATCAAAACCTGTCCAAAGTTAGCGCTTACCATATATCAATGATGTACAAATGCAAATGATCAATTTATCAGGCACCAATACTATGATTCACCTTACCAGAAGGATATCAACCTGACCTTAAGAAACAATATAAGTATAGCACTTTACAAGAAAGTATACCACTTAACTGAATATTAAACTGGGTGGCAAAGACAGTAAGTGGTACAGAAGTTAAATAAAGGTCACTACTAATCTATGAATATTTCTTAAGATGGGTGAGACTTAAGGGTTGCATACTTTCGAGGGAAAGAAGAGAGGAGAAATGTGGTAAATAATTCAGAATGAAGTAAAAAACCATGGGCAAGTATCAGGAAAAACATAATGCCCAAGGAAACAGCTAAGAGAATAACTTTACAAGAGCAGAGATTTCATTAGGTGGGGATCAGTGATCTCTAAATATTTCCGATCAGTATTATGTGACTACTTAAATTGCTTTTACTTATCCAAAATAAATTATTTTATAAAATTGTACATACCTTTCTTAATAGCTTTGTACTTCTCTTCATTCTCCATAAAATTAGGATCCATCTTGAAAACATCTTAAAAAAAAATTAAAAGTTAATGTTTATTTTCTATATTTACATTTGTTGGTGCTCCACTTTCTACCTACTATGCACCAGGCTTACTAAGAACATCTTCCGGATTATAGTCATCCTCCAAAGGCAGCATGTGGGTGAACTGATCATCTTCTTCCACCAAATCAAGACCTTCTAGGATAATGGGGTGGTCCTTGAATCCATCTTTCCGTACAGCAAACATCACTTCAATCATATATTGAACTCTTTTGTCAATTTCAGACTCATGCAGAATGTTTCGAAGGCGTTCAAATATAGCTAAAGGTAAACAAAGAAAAGACAATAAAATAAGCAATAAATATTATAATAAACAAAAACTTAACATCAAACTAAGAATGTACACTCACCATTGATTCCTCTTGGTGACACTTGTGTTAATTTGAGGCCACATTCCTTGAGAAAGCCAATAGCTACTTCAACACTATCATCTGTTGGTCTTTCCAGGAGCAAAGTGAGCATCTCTAAGCACAAAACTTCATGTGCCTTAAATAGAATACATATATATGAAAGAAAAAAAAATGCTTTTACATACATTAAAATGTTGTTTATAATTTCTAAAAATTAATAAATCTTGTTTACAATAATTATATTGCACATATGATGGGCAAAGTTTTATAAAGCAAATAGAAATACTCCAAATATGGATACAATTTTTCTATTACTTTTTATTACCAATCTATTAAAAATTTTCAGATGACTGTTCCAAAAATCTTAATTTTTTTATGCTGAATACAACTATCTGAATTATCTTCAGAAGAAATATTCTTAGCCATTATGTATGGAAAGTGTCACAGATGAAATATGTTAAAAATCATATACTACTTCCTAATAAGATAATTATTTTCGTAATTACTTCATTAGAAATAGTTATATGATTTATAATACCCTTCTACATGACTACACTTCTTTATATACATTTCCCAATTCATTCTATCAGCAACTCTATTAGACACAAATAGTCCTCAAGTTACATGAATACTAATTTTATCACAAAATAGCTTAATAACCTCCAGAACACAACAGTTTGGAATATTCTATCTTTAAAAATAAATAAAAAAATAAAACTATTTCCACTGGCCACGTTCAAAAACTGACACTATAAACAATGGCAGGAAGAGTGGGAATAAAATTCTGAGAAACTCTGGTATGAGAAGAAAAAGAACTACAAAGGATGTTTACAACACCATACATATGCCTTTCTAAAGTCAGATGGTGATCTGAAATGGGGAGGAAAGAAGTCTAAATCTCAACTCAGGCGTCTATCTTCTTCAAATTGCGCACAACATCAAAGACACCCAGTGCTTTTTTTATGAGGGGAGAAGGGGTGTCAAACAGTCTTAAATCAGTGACAAGAAAAAAACTGCCCTGTACCAGAGTTGGGAAGATGCAAAAAATTTGTCATACTGAGTGTTTTACAGCAAAACAAAAATCTCTAGTCTAAGTGTAATATACAATTAAAAATGAAAATATATCTCTGTGGTTATAGATGTGAAATTAAGTTTCCATGGTCTTAAGTAGCAAGCTATCATCGTCATAATACAATGACTAATTAGGTTAGAATCCAAAAGATTTCTAAGAGTGAAAGAATTTTCATGTAAATAAGAACCAAAACATTCAATGTTAGTGAAATAAGATTAAGTGTGACTTAAAAATTCTTCCTGTTAAAAGTGTGACTATAAAATTCTTCTTGTTATACATGTTATACATGATATTAAATTGGAAATAATATACAACTGAAGGAAACTTTTGAGTATAAGCAAGAACAATTTTGCCACTTTCAAGGTTAAACAGAAACTAAAAACCATCAAATAATGAATGAATATAAAATAAATACAAATGGAATAATAGCATGATAAAGTTATTTGCATTTGAAACAGGTTAAAATTGATCAACTATATTCTATAAAGTGATTCTACAAATATATGACCATACCTATGTGGTTGCAAGAAATAGAGGTTTTTGTAGAATATTAGATATTTATTAGGTTCTCATGAATACCAGGTACAGGAAATGAAGTGGACGAGATACCAACTTTATTATTTTATAAAAATGGAATAGTTCTTCAAAGGAATGGTTTGTAGTCACGTAACCATGTACAGTATTAAGTCAGATTAATTTGATAAAATATCTAAAAGTGCTTTGATTAGCATCAAAGTTTTATGTTAAAGAATATTAAATAAATTTATTATACTTTTAAAATTAAAATATAATCCAACATAATTATCCCAAAAACTATAAAGTAAAACAAAAATAGAGTTACCAGTGGAGTGGCATCAACCCTGTGGTCTAATGCCACTGAATTGGACCAAGTTTTGAAGATAATTACTTACCACATTTTGGTTAATAAGATGTGCCACAAATTTTGAAGCAGTCAGACAAAGTTGCTGAAAAATGAAGGTAGAGACAAAGTTAATCCATAAATTAAACCTGCTATTCATTTGTTTATAGAATCTATGGCCTACGAACATAATCTATTTAAAACATGTAATACAAAAGTATAATTTTTATATTATAAGAAAGTTATAAGATAAAATAACAAATGAAAGACTATCACTTCTGGTTAGTTATAATTCTACAGTTTAGCCATCATTTTTGTGGCTCATCATTAGTGGTCAGGTATATTTAACAGAACAAAAGAAGTTCTCAAGAAAGACAGTTTTTAAAAAGGATTATATTAGTACCTGTGTCAAAATTAACTTTGCTTACATTTGTTGATACTGGTTTATTAGTCTGTTCCTATGTATAATTCTACTTACAAACCATTCATGTATACCTTATCATTTCTTCGGTAGCCTTTTCGAAAATTAAGAATTAACCTCTTGAGGATCAATTCTCCAATTTGTGGAAATTTTGAGTTAATAATTGCCACTAATGCTGCATAAACATGGGTGAAGATTGGAGACGCACTCTGTGCTTGCAAAACAGACCTGGACAGCAGTCCTCTGTTTAAAAAAGAATAAAAAAGGGGTCAAAAATAATCACCAAATTAATTAAACAAAAACTATTAAAATTCAGTAATAGTTCTCTGTAAATAATCATAAAATCTAAATCAGAACTAAATGGAAAGAGTTCATCTGACTAATAAAAATTTTTTTTCAGAAAACAAAATGTGAATTTGTGATTTTGTAAAATAGAATAAAGATTTTACTGTAATTTATCTTCAAAATTTTTCTCTCTATATATAATTCCTCTTATCCCAGTCTGTTTGTTACATGTAATTATGAATTAGAGGTTTTTAAGGTTCATATAAATGATTTGTTTAACACTTTCAAAAAAGTAAAACAAAAACAGACCTGCTTCAAAAGTTAGACAACATAAAGTTTCTACTACAGGTCCGTCATTTTTATAAAATTAATTTTGTGATTAAAGACAAATTTGACTTTAAATCTTTAAGTCTAATTTTAGTAGAATAAAATGAAGATCTGGAAACTCCTATGAGAAATAAAGACACAATTAAAAGCAATGCAAGATTAATGCTAAAACAATGACAAGAAATTAAAAGGTACCTACTTGTAACTGATTTTGAAAATGGTCATGTTTTTATATGCATTTGATGAGAAAGGGGAAAAAGGCAAATCGGGCAAACTGAAGTTATTTTTAGCAGTGTAATGACAAGTAATTATTGGATTGCCAGAAGTCAGAAAAAAAAGTCTTAATGGTAGGTTTAGATATGACAACTGAATCACTAGAGTAGAAAATGAGAAAAAGGATGCAGCTTATAAATTATAGTATCTTTAGCAATCCATAACTCTTCTAACTCTACTTTTTTTCCTAAGTAAAATGGAGAGACCTCTGCCTACTTTTAAGGATAATGGCTGTCTCTTGATCAACTTTCTGTACCTCTACAACTTGCTACATCTACTTTATACTCCAACTTTTTTTGGTGAGATTGGGGAGAGACAGGGTCTCACTCTGTCACCCAGGCTGGTGTGCAGCGGCATGATCATGGCTCACAGTAAGCTCCACCTCCCAGGCTCAAGCGATTCTCCTACCTCATCCTCCGGAGTAACTGGGACTACTGCATGCCACCACACCCAGCTACTCTTTGTATTTTTGGTTGAGACGGGGTTTCACAATGTTGCCTAGGCTGGTCTCAAACTCCTGGACTCAACTGATGCACTTGCCTCAGGCTCCCAAAGCGCTAAGATTACAGATATTGAATGACCATGCCTGACTATTATATTCCCTATTTTTTAAAAGAATCATAGTCATGTAAAATGACATGAGAAAACAGCCCACAGATTTTAAAATAATAAAGAGAACATAGGGTACTTCTATTTTTTGACCCTTTTAAATATCACCAATTGCTTACAGCCACATATTATAGAATATGGTGATTCTCTTCTGCTTTTCTGAAATTTATTCCCATTTCTCTCACATTCTCTCTCACTTTACTCTCATTAGAAATTAAATTGGAATAACGGCCATATACAATGAGCTCACAGCTAGTAACACTCAACAGTGACAAGTTGAAAGCTTTTCCTCTAAGATAAGGAATAACAAAAGGGTGCCTGCTCTTTCCAGTTCCATTCAACATAGTACTATAAGACCTAGCCAGAGCCATTAGGCAAGAGAAAGAAATAAAAGGAATCCAAATAAAAAATAGAGAAGTCTCTTTGCCGTAAATGGGATCTTAACACAGAAAATCCTGACGACTTAACCAAAAAAATTATTAGCACTAATAAACTAATTTAGTAAAGCTGCAGACACAAAATCAACATACAAAAATCAGTTGTGCTTCCATATGCTTACAATGAACTATCTGAAAAAGAAATCAAGAAAATATCCTGTTTACAATAGCTATGGAAAAAAGAAAACCTATGAAAGGGCTATACACCAAAAACTACAAATTGCTGATGGAAAAATGGAAGAACACACATGGCATCCCATGTCCATGGATTGAAATAATATTATTAAAATGTCCATAAAACCCAAAGCAACATACAGATTCGACTCAATCTCTCAAAATTCCAATTACAGTTTTCACAGAAATACAAAAAACAATCCTAAAACTCACATGGAACCACAAGACTCCAAATAGCCACAGCAATCTTGAACAAAAAGAACAAAGCTGGAGGCATCACACTACCAGACCTAGAATCTGCTACGAATGTTATAGTAATCCAAACAGCATGATAGTAGTATAAAAACAGGCACATAGAGCTACAGAGAACAAATAAACCAGAGATAAATCCAGGCACTTGCAGTCAATTGATTTTCAACAAAGAGGCTAAGAAGACACAATAGAGAAAAGACGGTATCTTCAATAAATGGTGTAAGGCCGCATGTTCTCACTCATAAGTGGGTGTTGAACAATGAGAACACATGAACACAGGGAGAGGAACATCACACACTGGGGTCTGTTGGTGGGTGGGGGCCTAGGGGAGGGACAGTAGTGGGTGGGGAGATTGGGGAGGGATAACATTAGAAGAAATACGTAATGTAGGTGATGGGGGTATGAAGGCAGCAAACCACCATGGCATGTGTATACCTATGTAACAATCCTGTAAGATCTGCACATGTATCCCAGAACTTAAAGTAAAATAAAAATAAATAAATAAATGGTGTGAATATCCAGATACAGAGGAATGAAAATAGATCTTAGTCCCACACCATATACAAACATCCACGCAAAATAGATTAAAGATTTAAACCATAAGACTGAAACTGTGAAACTACTCTAAGTTTCTAACAGGAAAACATGGAGGAAAAGCTCCCGGACACTAGTATTGCTAATGATTTTTTTTGGATATGACCCCTAAAGCACGGGCAACAAAAGCAAAAAGAGACAAATGTAATTACATATAACTAGAAAGCTTCTGCACAGTACAGGAAAGTATCAACAGAGTGAAGAGACAACCTATAGAATGGAAAAAAAACATTTGCAAACCATATATCTGCTAAGGGGTTAATATCCAAAATAAATTAGGAATTCAACCCAATAGTAAGAAAACAAATAACCCAATCTAAAAAATGAGCAAATGACAAAACAGGCATTTTTCAAAGGATGTACAAATAGCCTATATATATGAAAAAAATGCTCAACATTACCAATTATCTTAAAGAAATGTAAATTAAAACCACAATGAAACATTTCCCCATACCCGTTACAATGGCTGTAATAAAAAAGATGAAAAATAACAAGTGTTACCAAGGAAGGACATGGAGAAAAGAGAATCCTTATACACTGTTGGTAGAAATATAAATTAGTATAGCCGTTATGCAAATAGTATAAAGGTTCCTTAAAATACTAAAAATAAAACTACCAGCCAGGTGCGGTGGCTCACGCCTATCATACTAGCACTTTGGGAAGCCAAGGGGGGAGGACTGCTTGAGCCCAGGAGTACGAGACTGGCCTGGGCAAGATGGCAAGACTTCACTCTCTACACAATTTTTAAAAATTAGCCTGGCGTGGCAGTGAGTGCTTGCAGTCCCAGCTACTCAGGAGGCTGAGGCAGGAGAATTCCTTGAGCGCAGAAATTCAAGGGGGCAGTGGGCTACGTCCATGCACTGTACTCTGGCATGGCAATAAAGCAACACCCCCATCTAAAATAAATCAATACAAAGTTTTTTTTTTTTTTTCCAATTATAACTACCATTTGATCCAGCAGTCCCTCTATTGGGTAAATACTGAAAGGAAATGAAATCATTATGTTGAAGAGGTATGTGCACTCCCACATTTATTGCAGCATTATTCACAATAGTCAAATATGTTAACAACAGAAGTGTCTGTTGTGAATAAATGGATAAAGAAAATGTATACATACATAATGGAATACTATTCAACCATAAAGGAAATCCTGTCATTTGCAAAAAAAAAGATGAACTTGGAGAACATTATACTAAGTGAAATAAGCCAGGCACGAAAAAGACAAATAATGCATGATCTCACTAATATGCGAAATCTAAAAAAAATTGAACTCATAGAATCAGAGTATAAAATGATGGTTACCAGAGGCTGAGGGCTGGGGGAACTGTGATGCTGGTCAGTGGACACAAAATTTCAGTTAGATAATAGGAATAAGTTCCAGAGATCCATTCTACAATATTTTGACCATAGTTAACAACCATATATTGTATACTTGAAAGCTGAAAATAGAGTAGGTTTTAAGTGTTCTCGCCACAAAAAATGACAGGTATGTGAATGCGTATGTTAAACAGCTTGATTTAGCCATTCTACAAAGTAACATATATAAAAACATCATGATGTATACCACATATACAATTTTAAAAAAATAAATAATCAAACTAGTTTGAGGTAGTATATTTTAATATTCATTATTCCTCATGAGTTTAAAATATTGGAGGCATTAAGTAAATGTCCACAAAAAACATTATGTGAAATCAAAGCTTCTCAAAAACCAAAAAATCTACACAACCTCTAACAGCAAGGCACTAGTTATTTTTTAGCAGCCTGTATTTTTATAAGCATTGCATTTTAAATAAATATTCTCAACAACCTTTGAAATGAAGTAGCACAATAAATCAAAGATTATTATTCATGTAAGTATATTCCTTTGAAAATGTTACTTAGAAATACTACAAATAAAATAGCTGATACTTACCTTCCTCTAACTATATTTTCTTGAAGAAGCTCTTGAATTATAATACTTATGTTGGAAATGTTGACTTTGTTGATAAGGCCATTAATTGACTTCTTTAGGGCCTCCCAACTCATCCTCTGATATGCTAAGCTAAAAATAAGTGATTTTAATAAAGATTAAAACTTTTTCAACAATACAATAATAAGAAGCTATGAGAACATAAAAGCTACTTAGTATTCCTTATTTTTTAACATTATTTTCATGAAATGACCCCCAAGTACAGTAAGATATATGATGCCTATCAGAATAAACGGATTATATCCTAAACCATATTTGATTTTCTGTACATATGCTTAAGTACACACCATTTTCCTTTAATAACACAATAAGATTATGTAAGGTTATATAAGGATAACATTTTTTTCTTATGGCTATGTACATTTATTAGTCAAATTCATTACATGCTTATTTTAATATAATGCTTGATTTAAACTTGTCTTTAATGGAAACCTTTAAAATAAATGCAATTTAAAAAATTAAATTATAACGTAAAATACCAAAATATAAACCACACAAAAAAATCTGTATGTCCCTTCTCATAAAAGCATGACAGAGACAACAAAATTAAATGTTTTAAACCACAAAGAAATGTTAACTACAGGAAAAGGGAGTCACATGAAATAATGGGGCTGAAATATTGTTCTAAGTATTTTAAAGACGATCTCTTTGTTGATGTAGTAGTCCTACAGTTATACCAGTTGAATGCTAGATAGCTATACTGTTTTTTACTCCAGATTTTGGGGAAATTATTTGGCCTCCCTGAGTTTCTTTAGGTTGAACTGGATAACACCTAAGATGTTTCAATGCTCTACAGTTCTATGGGTTTTGTGACTGCTTTTCTGTGGAATGTGATTTCAGCTTCAGGAAGTCTTAACCTTTTTTCTTCCATACACATCTCTCTCTGCAAGTCTGGTGAAGCCAGTAGACTTTTCGGAATGATATATACAATGAAGAGGATTACAAAGGATACTAATCTTACTGAAATTTAGTTTTCGAAACACGAAACAAAAGTTTGATATAATATTCTATATGCTTCATAACACATTAAATAAAAAGAACTGGGAGAACGCTTAATTACTACTTAAATTTCTAAGTAGCATGGCTATAATCCATATTATGAAATATCTGTAACAAACAGGTTGTCCATACTCTGACCTATTGCCGACATTCTCAAAAGAAAAAAATTGCTAAATTTTAGAGAATAGCAAAAATAAAGATCCATTTTTTTCCCCAAACACATTCATTGACTGTTTGAATTATATCCATGGACCTCTTGAAGGCTTGTAGGTTAAGAATTCCTGTTCTCGGGTGGTACAGCAGGTTGGTGAGAATAATTGCTGGTGGGAACGAGCATTGTATCACTAACATTGTTTAGAATTGCCAGAACAGTGAGGATAAAAAGCAGACCTGACTTTGCAGTTAATTTTTGTTTCTAAATTCTCTATAAATTATGTACCCCCTTACTGCCTGTACCCAAGGTAGACTATTCCACTGTTTCATAATTCCAACCCTTTGGTATCCCACTATCTCTACAGAAATAAGACATATGGCTTAACAATTAGCCTGATACATGACGTTGCTCATATATAATCACAACCTATCTTATTAAACTAATCAAACAGCTACATCAACTACAATTATACTTTCTAATTAGGAAGCCCACAATTCACCTAAGCATCTACTGAAAGCAAAGACTATGACCATCTCTTAAAGATGTCTACTTCTCCTTGTACCCTTTACAGCCTATGAACAGACTTCAACTGTTTATGAAATTATCTTAAAGGAATGTGCTTTAAATTTCATGTATTGCTAACTCTCCCGTCTGCTTTATTTAAAACAAAGCAAGACTTGGACTGACAAAGTTTCCAGTATTTTACAATTAGGATTGCTTTGGACTGGACTGGAGAAACTGAATACTTTTCAGTAATGCTGCCATTACTGCCCTGTGCATGAGCAAAATGCTTACATGATAATGAAGGTCCTATTAACCACAGAGGCCATCTCTAAATTCCTTCTCAACCTAACACTTCAAATATCACTACCAAGTGCTAAAATATGACACATAAAGAAAAACTTATTAGTTTTGAATTTAGTGGCAACAAATACCCCTTTCTGGTTCTTAAATTCAGTTCTAATTTATTTTAAATCTTCATAGCTTCTTTTAGATAAATGACATTTCTACTTCAAGCCAATCCTTGAAACAAATTTAGATTTAACTTATATAAGGTTCTCAAGCACTTTTCAAATTGCCATTAAAACACCCATGAAAAGATGTGGAAATATTCCTGTCTGGCTTACCTTGCATCTGTTTTTCTTAAATTATAACTATTAATATCTTCTATCCCAATCTTTTAACTAGTTACCTGACAACTGAATAAACATTTCAATCTGGGACTATACCGTCCCTAGTTATCAACTCATCTTATTAGAGAAAATATCTCAAAAACTTAGCTGCACTTTTGTAAACAGCTCCGCACCATCCCAATTATTCTGAAAAGGGAAGGAAGAGTGTTTTAAGTGTGACTGTTCATATACAAATTTTGTTTGCCTTAGAGTAGCAAAAAAGTATAGTCTAAGACATCAAGGTCTAAAGAAAATATACAAAAAGATAAAATTGCCAGCTTCAGTTTTACAGATGAGTACAGAGGTTGGCAAACTACACCCATGAGTCAAATGCAGCTGACCACCTGCTTTTGTAAATAATGCTTTATTGGAACACAGCCACACTTATAATTTTTTACACAATACCTACGACTGTTTTCACATTTCAATGGCAGAAATGAGTAGCAACAACAGAGACAAAATGACTCACAGATGTAAAGTATTTACTATCTGGGCATTTACAGAAAAAGTTTATTGACTCCTGTTTTACAACAGGAAAGGTCCATTTTAGAAGTAAAATGTCAATATTACTCTTTTCTACAAAAAATAGATGTTATCAATAGGAATGCATCCATGAAACTATGAAAGGAACAATAGTTTAAAAATACTATAAAAGGGGTAAGCAATTTTTTGCTCAAACTTTTTTTTTTTTTTTGCTCAAACTTTTTAATTCATTCACGCAAAAAAAGAAGTTATGAGCTAATATAAAGGGGAAGCAGTATGTGGCTCTCTCTCCAATGGAGCTATGAAGTAGGTCTCTAATTTGAGGTCTCTATTACTGTAGACTAATGTAAATTCTCAAGAACCAGAGTTAATTAAACCACAGTTGACTTATTTTTCAATGACAATATCATGGCCTTATATACTTATTGATATCAACATGCCTGTTTTTATCTGTAATTTGTTCTTGCATCATCCTGAGCTTTGCAGGAGGAATATATGCTCCACCAGTGCGAGTAAGAAGAGGATCCAGCTCATCTTTCTTTTTCTTTGTAGCAGGTTCATCCTGAGCAGAGGAACTCTGAGTTATTGATGTTTCTGGGTTTCTCCTCCCAGGAGATGGGGATTTCCGGGACCTTTTCCGATCCGGATCTCTTTCTCTTTCTCTGCGTTTTTCTCGGTCCCTGCTTCTGTAATATTAATTTTTTTAAGGGCAGAAAAGACAATATAAAATACACTCTTAACAATTAAGTGCATAAAAATGAGTGAAACTGTAAGTGGGCCCCACAAATTCAGACTAGGAAAAGTGGTTTAGAATCACAGTGGGAAAGCGCTTCCCAGAGAAAATGCAATAAACTAGGTCCTGAAGGCTTGACAGGATTTAGATTGGGGGCAAGTCGGGAGGAGGAAGGGGAGAAGAAGTATGGCATTCTGCAACTAGTAGACAAAGGAATAACTATTGAAAGACTGAGCAGGGGTGTTAAGGTAAGAATGAGTAGCACACTCAGGAAACAAAGTATTATGTGTGACGGTAGTTGGAAAGATGAGTTAAAATCTTAAAACATATGCAAAAGACTTTAAGGTTTTTATACTGGAGCTGATGGGGAATTATTAAAAGTTTCTGGGTAGAAGAGTGGCATGAGAAGAATGTTTTATGAAGAAAAATTAGCCTGTGGTATATATGACAAATTGTATAAAAAAAGAAGAAACCAAGAGTTAATCTCCAATAGTGGTTACTTTAGTTGTTAAGACTGCTACAGAAAACACATTTGAAATTGTTTCTTGATAGAACTAATATTTTTTATTAGAAATCTCACAATCTTGGAAGCTTCTGCTTATTTGAGACAATGTAGGGGGAAAATTTTTTTCTAGCCACAATTAAGTCTTCCTTCCCAACTAACATACCTGATTATCCTTTCTTAAGACTTTTAGAACAGTCAAGGTATAGTTCTCTGAAACCATCAAGAACTAACAGGAAAAAGCAAATCCTTGCTGTTTGCTATCTTTCCCCAGAAAAAAGTTTATCCACTGAGTTGCTTTTTAAATACATTTTCTTGGAAACTCAGATCATTCTGTTCATGTTTTGGGTAACCATGAGTTATATATAACGCAATAAATAAAAGTAAGTTTCATACTATCACTGTATTACCAGGAAAAACTATGAGATAGATTTTAGCTAAATCTAAGGGGTATGTTTGAGATGGTCTTTTTAAATATATAGTAATAAAACCTACATGGAGATTGAAAAGCAGTCACCCTCCCAGGCAGCTGTGAAGGAACAGTTTTGTCTGCTCACTTTTAAATTCAGGAGTACAAGTGCAGGTTTATTACACAGGTAAACTTGTGTCATGTTGGGTTTGTTGTACAGATTATTTTATCACCCAAGTATTAAGCCTAGTACTCATTAGTTGTTTTTATTGATCCTCTTCCTCCTCCCACGCTCCACTCTCCATAAGGCCCCAGTGTGTGTTATTCTCCTCTATGTGTTCATGGGTTCTCATAATTTAGCTCCCACTTATAAAAACAAGAACGTGTGGTATTTGGTTTTCAGTTCCTGTGTTAGTTTGTTAAGGATAATGGCCTCCAGCTCCAACCATGTCCCTGCAAAGGACATAACCTCATGCTTTTTTATGTTCCATGGTGTATAAGTATCACATTTTCTTTATCTAGTCTATCACTGATGGGCATTCATGTAGATTCCATGTCTTTGCTATTGTGAATAGTGCTGCAATGAATATACACACACATGTGTCTTTATAATAGAATTATTTATATTCTTTTGGGTATATACCCAGTAATGAGATTGTTGGGTTGAATCACAGTTTCAAAATTGAGATATAAGAGACTTAAATGACTCCTAGAGAGGACAGACAATCTGTATACACCAAGAGTCAACAACAGATGGGAGAAAGAGTGATTTCAAATATAAGCTTCCGTTAGTCACAAAGGCAGATACTCTAAATTCTCTGAATTAATTTGCAACTGGGTTGCTTCTTCTTATGAATACACATGTTCCAAGAGACTAGCTACAGAAGGGATTTCCTGACATTGGTTATGATTCTTCTGAGAAACACCAAGTAAGAGAACTAGCTGGCTGATAAAATCAGATCCTTTTCATTAGTGTGTTTGTTCCTTTATAATGCAGAAATAACAAAATATCCTAAGAGTCAACATTTTTGGACTGTTAGTCTTCATGTTCCATGTAATACCTAGCTTGCTTACTTCACAGTGTGACTGTGTGGATCACATGAGACTTCGTTTTCATACACTAGACCTAACAAAGTTATACTGAATTAGTACAGTCAGGGATTGTGAAAAAGACATGGGCCTTGGAGTCAGAACTGGGTTCAAATTCCAGTTTCAATATCTACCAGATGTTTAAATGCAACCTCAGGTAAGTTACTTAATAAACTCAAAGCTATTTCTTTATTTGTAAACTGGAAAAAAGTAGTATCTTGTTTCTAAGAGCTTTTACAGTATTTGAGAAAATATGCAAAAAGCTTAGCTTACCAATTACGGCTATAGCAGTTGTTCTCATTAAGGTGTCATTAAGGTGACAGCAGACAAGCCTGGATTTTGAAGGTTAATGTAATCTGACATTTTAGAATTAAGTATATATTAGAAAGTGATGAGAAGGAAACTTTCGGCTGTAAATATCAAAGAATGTGCTTAGCTCCAAACTGCAGAGGAATTTGGTCAAAATTCCTGGAAGTTATAATATTGGAAGTAAAGTGGTGGATAACATCTGAGAAACATCAAAAAATTAGTGAACAATAAAACATGAGAGTCAGGTTTTGGAAACTAGATGACTAGAGAACACAGGAAAATCAGGAGAAAGCTGGTTTTATGAAAACAATGATAAAGGCACAAAGATGTCTTTTAAGGGATAATGAAATGGTTGTTACAGAGACAAATCATAGTTCCTTTATAAATACTAAAATAATGTTAGTTTTTTAAGGTTAATTAGAAATACATTCAGAATCAACCGCATTGTTCAACAACAGTTTATCTGAACTCTTACACTATTTTCTATATAAAGTGCCTGCCACTGGTTCACTGCTTTTCACTACTCAAACTGATATGCTCAGGAAAAACTAATGCTTTAAAAGTTATCATTTTCTTAGTATCTACTATGTTCAGACATGGTAGTAGGACAGACAGTATTTTTAAACCTAAACAACCAGACAAGATTCATGTTATCATCCTCATCTTATAGATGAGGAAACTGAGGCTCAGAAGAAATTTGTTAAGAAACTACCAAATTGGGCCGGGCGCAGTGGCTCAAGCCTGTAATCCCAGTACTTTGGGAGGCCGAGGCGGGTGGATCACGAGGTCAAGAGATCGAGACCATCCTGGTCAACATGGTGAAACCCCGTCTCTACTAAAAATACAAAAAATTAGCT